CTCTTCTTCGGGATGATTGCTCTCTATGCCTTCTCTCTCCCCTGTTTGAGGAGGCGGATCTGTGAGGATATTCGTTCCTCCTGGAAGGATGTGGGTTACTTTGATTCGGGCCTCAAGGAGCGTCTCTACACTTGCTGGTGTCATGCCCATAGAGTTGGTGGAAAGTGCAAAACCTTGCCTCTTCCAAAGGCCTGTTTGACCGCTTCTTTTTCTTCTTTTTATTACTATCAGTTCTCCCAGATGGCCCTGCTCCGCTAGGGAAATTCTCGCACGCCAACACTGGCACTGCATTTAGTATGGCAGACGCCAGTGCCTGTCCGGAGGTGGGAGCTATTATATGACCTGCTTGAGTCCATTGCTGAGTAACAAGGTGCACTCCGGGTCCTCAACCAACCTGCCTTTGGGGCGGAGGGAGTCCCTGCGTGGCACGATTTCGGTGATCAATCATCTCTTCATTGACGATCTCAACTCTCATCGTTTCTACCAGTTCGTCATAAGTGGTGGGATTTTTTCTGCGCACATCCCTCCAGAACAAAGTGTTCATATTGAGGCCCCCTTTCAAGGCTAAAAGGGCTTCTCCATCAGTGATCTGTTTGCAATACGTGATTTTGTCTGTAAACCTGGCGAGATAGCTTTTCAGTGTCTCTCCGAGGGCCTGCCTCATATCTTGCAGGCATTGCACCGGGGCCTCTCATTCTCTGTGTGAGAGGTACTGGTTCAAGAATACCTTCTTCAAATCCGACCAACTCCTAATGCTCAGGGGAGGAAGTCTGCTGTACCACACTTCAGCAGCTCCGCTTAGGGTTAAGTGGAAGGCTCTACACTTCAAAGCAGGTGCGGCTCATCTGTGTCATGTACTTGGTGATGTGCTTTTTCGGGTCCCCCTTTCCTTCATACTTGGGGATCTTAGGGGGCATGAAATTCGTAGGCATTGGGAAACTTCGGATTTCCCTTGAGAAAGGGAGGTTGTCATCATCATCGTTAATTTCATAGGATCGACAAGGTTCATCTGACCCTTCATCATCTTGAATGTTTTGGGGGAAGTGGAGGTGCTTCTCCTTGACTGTCCCAATGAACTGAGTCCCTTCTCTCCTTCCTATTTCTAGGAGGAGAGGGTGCTTGTTCTTGCTCCTGTTCTTGCAAAACTGATCTTCGCACTGAGCGGACCCTATTACTAAGGTCTTTCCCTATTTGGTCGAAGATGCCGACTGACCTTTGTGCTTCATATTCTTAAGGGAAATTGTCCCCCAATTGTGGTTTTGCTGGCTGGCTCCCTTGCACATAGGATGTGGCTTCTGCACCTAGTTCTCTTTCGAAGGGGCGTTCTCTGTGCTGGCTCACATGGTCTCAGGAACGAGATGTTGAGGCTTCCTGACCTGGGTAAGATCCTTGGGGCATTTGAAAGCCCTGGTGACCTCGGGCTTGCATGAGAAGTTCATGCATCGCTATATTTTGGGCTACGATGTCTCTCATGCCCTCAACTATTTAAGTCATTCCTTCAGTGAGCATGAATGTTCTTTCACCTTGACGACGCCAGTGATGGGGTCTTTGGTGAGTGACATTGTTACGGAGCACCTCTTCTTCATAGGCCTCTCTCATAGGGTTCTTGTCTTCATGGCTGTAACTCATCTTATCTCATTTTTCAAAGGTGATAAGAACTTGGATTATAACTCGACTTTGCTCTTTTTAAAAAACGTGCCCTTTTTAGGGTAAGTCACTAGTTTTCCGGTGGTTTCTCCGGTGGAGAATGTAGAACTTTGGATGAGAAGTGTCCCACAGACGGCGCCAATCTGTTGACCTTGCAAATTAGACCCTCCACGTGGCCAACCGATAGCTACTCTACGTATTCCTCCCTACGCACAGTCAACGCATGGTCAGATGCACACGGCTGGAACCAGCGGGGGTGTGGTAGCCGCATACACTCCGACAGTCAAGTTAGCCTCAGGTGATCGGAACAATACCAAGGTTGTGCAAAATAGTGGGGAGGAGAATATATATTTGCTTGTTATGGAAAGTTATGTTGTAAGAGTTTCATTACCTTTGCCTCTTGTCAAACCTTGGGTATTTATAGGTGAGGAGAACCGTTGGATGTGGGACACGTGTATGCATCTGACGGTGTGAGGCGTCTGCTCATAGGCGTTAATCAGCCTCATCTATAGGGTGGACGGGTAATTACTTCTCCCAAATTGAGTTGACATAAAGTTAAGACGTCATATCAACTAGGCTCATGGAGATGTCAAATCAATTAAACTTTGGGTGCAGAAAGGATCTTGACATAGATCTCTTTCTGAAATTGGCGGCGAATCCTTTGACAGAGAATCTCGAGATATACCGCGCCTCGGTTTCAGGGGTGAGGGCGCTTCGATCGGTTCAATAGATTGTCTGTGCCTCGCAGTGCGTTAGCAGGTTGACAACATTGGCGACAGAGTCACTTCGGAACCACTTCGAATGGGTGTTAAACATCTCGTATGACGTGGTGAAAGACTTTCCGAAGTGGTTCAAATAGGGGCGTAATACAACTCACAACCCAAATCTGCATCCGTGTGTTTATAACATACATATAAGTGGATTATAGATTTCCGTGAGGGAATTCCATTAATCTGGGTATCTAAACGGAAGAAAAGTATTTCGCGAGAAAATTCAAAATTTTTTGAAGCTAAATCTCCAATAAGAATGAGAATTATAAAAATGAGATATTTTATTATAATTTACTCATCTTCGTATTTTTATTTCTATTAATATCTTTTATAGTCCATGATATAAATAATTTTACTTTATATTTATGGGTTCAAAATCCAATAAAATCTAAGGGTTCGTGTTAGAATTTTAAGGAATTCTATACGTACATTTATAAATTTGAAAGCTATGAAAATCTAATCAAATCCTTTATATTAATGAAGTCTTAAAAATCCATTAATAATAATTAATACCTAAATTTTATCGGAATTGATTAAAATCTAGGCTGGAGATATCTAAATTATTATTAAAATATAAATTAAGAATACGTAAATTTTAATGCACTTGCAAAATTCATTAAAATATATTAGCCTTATATTCATCTCCTAGGCTATTGATGGCCCAATCCAGCAAAATTAGATCAGCCCAATAGTCTAGGCCCAACAATCTAAGGTTCCCCACATCCTTTTTTTATTTCATTTTCATCAAAAAATTTCCAGGAATTCCTATCATTCTCAGTTTAAATCTCCTTAAATTTAGGCCATTTTGACTATATATTTCTCTTTCACGCCGACTGCTGAGCTGGTCGAAGAAGTAGAACTATACACATTGTCAAAATCTTATGGGTTTACAAAAATAAAAAATAAGTAAACACTGGAGTAAAAAGTACTTAAAAATATTATGTTTTTCATTTCTGGAAATAGTCTAAAATAAAAAGTTAAATATAAATAAAAGAACATAAAGCTTGTTTTCCTATGCAACAATGTGACAATGAACGCTTGAGTTAGCTAGGCTTTCTTTTGTCAATCATCGGTGGCGAAGCTAGCACACAAAATTAGTGGAGTTTTAGGGCCCGTTTGGTAGAGATTTTGAGAATTGATTTTTTAACCGTTAGAAGAAAAGTGAGGTCCACATGTGAGAGAAGAAGTCAAAAATTATGGTTTGAATAGTAAAATAACGGTCAAAAAATCAATTTTTTGAGGCAAAAAATCCCTACCAAACGGGGTCTTAATATCATTACCCAGAAAAAAAAAATTCAAGCACAAAATATAATTATATTAAAATAAAAACATAAAAAATTCATATAATATTTTTTTCTTTTCAAATTTCATTGGTTTGAGACGCCATTGACCCTCACCTACGTCCGCCACTCTCTCGATCATAAAATATCGATCTTTGGAGAATAGCGCTACAAACTCATTATTTGCTCCAACTTAGTATTATTTGAGTAAATTTTCCAATAAAAAGTGGAATATGCCATTATTCTCAATTTCCTTCTACACCATCCAAGTCTCAATCATAACTCAAACCACAATGTACTTGGCTGAGGTTAGAAATTTATTTTTAGAAAACAAATTAGCTAAACAAAATATAGACAAAGTATTACAAATTAAAGAGAAGAACATTAGTCTAATACTATTTATACATAATGATAACATTAAAGAGAGATAGAGATTATGGATTATAATAGAGTAATGCTATTTAGTTTTACTGATATTGCAACCACAATTTAAATAGCGCTAATATGACATGAAATAATAAGTGAAATTAAATAACTCATTTAATTTTATATTTTATTTAGTCCATCATCTATGTCATCAAAACTAGGCTGTAACTTAGTGGGGCTACGTAGCACTGCTCATTATAATTACTGAATTTCTTTTCTTTTCATCTCTTTGTTCATTTTTTCTCTCTCCCATGTCATTATTATATACAAATATCATTACTTGGCAAATAATAAGTCTTTGTTTCGTATAAACTCTTTAGAATTTATTTTTTCTCAAATTTATTTCCAACTACAAAATTTTTAAATAAAATAATTTTCCACATGAACTCACCGTCTCCTTACTTGCACTCAATCACTAAAAAACATTTTTTTACAAAATCTTCCAAAAAATCTATATCAAATAGGCTATATAAGCCCGTTTTGTAATGCTTTTTTTTTTCTTTTTTTTTAAGTCAAAAATTGATTTTGAGAATAAAAATTTATTTTTGAATCTTTTTGGGTAATTTTTTAAAAATATCTTATAGAACTAAAATAATTTTTAGAGGAGTTGAACTAAGGTAGTTTAATCGAAAAACCATATTACAAAAAATAGAAATAAAAGTAGAAATCTTATTGAACGATCCCTAAATAACGTCCAATTTTGCCGGTTAAAATTTAAAACGACGCAATGTTATTTTATTTTATGACATTTTAAAAAAATTGAGAGGGACAAAATTCTACGTAAGATTCGGGAACTTTTAGCAAGTAACATGCGAATATGCCGCAAACTATCAATTTGTAAGGAAGATTCTTCTTTATAATTCGCATCTCTCTTTGCTTTATATAAATCCCTGCCTCTACTCTCCGCCCAGGCGCCCACATTACTCTCTAACTCGATTTTAACCACCTGAAAGCAGATCCTGTTCACCATTTTCTCTCTCTGCCACGAATTCCCATTTCTTAGGTAATCGTCTTCCTTTCTCTCTTAGAATATTTCCAATGGAACCCTGCTTTTCTTTTTTCTTGGTTTTAATGTAGATTTAATTATTTTTGGGTGTCTGATAGAAACCCTTCTGGGACGGGTTAATTGTCTGTTGTAATTTACATGTCATTCATGAATTATGTTTCGGACATGGGAATACTATAATGGATTTATATCATGTTTGGGTTGAGTCATGAGTGATTGTTGTGATCGATTCCTTTTAAGTTTTGTGTGTGACTTTCTTATTTCTTGTGCACCATACGTTAATGGGACGACGATTTGGGTTGAAAATCCGTGGATTACAGCTTATCCTTAGTTCCTGACTCATTATGATTTATGGAAAATGCAGTGTCAGTTTTGCTAAATTTCATAATATGCAATGAAGAATGAATGTTTATTGTTTGTACAGGAATAGCTAGTTGATATTAAAGTTTGATTTTAAGTTTTATCTCGTGCATTCGTACTGTTTAAATATATCTAAAGATATTGAACAAATCACATCTGGCCCTCACTTCCCTTGAAATGAAAAGGTTAAAGAGAAACAATCAACATTTTAGATTGTTCACCAAACTTGGGATGGGCAAATCTGCTCACTTCTAACCTATATTGTTTTTGTCATGGAAACTCTGAGAAAAGTCGAACTCGTTAAAAAAAATATTGGAAGAGAAAGGACTTATATTGTTCCTCAATATCTGATGTGTATAGACGTGTCCTATGAACTGACAAGAAGGGGCATTAGAGAATGGACTTAGAGTCAGATTACTGAAAGCAAGGTTTATTTCAAAAATGAGTCTTCATAAACTTCTAGTTAAGAATGTTTTTGAGCAAGATCAAAAGGAGAGTGCCATTTGAGGAAAATATTATGTGAGGTGAGCATTCAGTAATATGTGAAAGATGAGTGAGCAAGTAGTAATCAAGTGTAAAGTTCAGTGATTATTGGTTAAATTTACTCGTTTATTTTATGAGAAAAATATATTTTTAACTAAAAGATCTTGTTAACCAGGAAAGTATGGCAGCAAAGACCTGCTTGTCTGAGGCCAATCCATGGTTGCGTGAATGGTATTGTGAAGACAAATTCATCTGTTGGTGTAGATGAAGTATCTTCTTGGTGCATCTATTTTCATTTCTTATGCTAACATAGTACTTTTTCCTTGTTAGGCGATAAACATCTTGCAGAAACAGTCGTTAATGTGCTCACTTCACTTCCTTTCATTGCTCTTGGGTTCCAAGCCCCAAGGTTAGTTTTTTCCTTGAGGCGTATCTACTAGGGAGGATTTGGTAGCTCTCGGTAGTATTAAAAACCAAACAAAAGCTAAACTCTTGTTCATTAAAACTGTCGAGTTCTATCCATTTTTTATACCAACGAGCACTTAGTTTTTTCATAAGAAGTACAGAAGCTATACATGCGTATCACTTTATTTGTCTTGCTTTGCTAATTCTGCAGGAAGAATTTGAATTGTAAACTCTATGCCAATTCATTAATTGGAGTAGGGATTGCTTCGAGTGTATACCATGCCTCAAGAGGAAAGTTGAGGAGGTATCTCAGATGGGCCGACTACACAATGATAGCCACAGCAACTGTGGTGAGTATAAATAATGGAATCATTCTAAGTTCTAACTGTTATGGGCTTTAATATTGAGGGATAAAATGGCTTCATGATAGACGCAGGGTTAGAAAATATTTTTAAATTATGCATTTAGGCTGCCGAGGGTGAGCCAAACACTAAGTGGATGTTTTATTAGCATAATTAGACAAGAGTAGTCGAGACGATATAAAAACAAGATTTAAGTTTCTTTCTTCATTAATACTGTCCAATCGTGTATGATCCAACCTACCAAATAGACCATAAGAGATTGACTGAATTCTTTGAAAGAATAAGAAGGTTATTTTTATAGCTATGTAATAATCGGTTTATAATCTAGAATGGGGTAAACTTGACCCATAAAGGGCAACCCAGTGAATTTCTTATTTTGATTTACCCATTTATTCTCAAGAATGTTTTTAATCTGTCTGTACAACTTGGTGTTCTATATTTGTTTTCTTTTTCGGTTCACTTGCATAGAAACAAGAACTTAATTTTTTTTTGCAGTGTCTGTCTAGGGCACTTAGGAATGAGAATCCGAAGTTACTGATGGCAGCTTCAGCTTTCTTTCTACCAATTCAGCCTCTGATGGTGTCAGCAGTTCACACGGGGATTATGGAGGTACGCTTATGCAGTATAAATATTAAATATAATTAGTCAATTGAAAATCAATCTTTCGTCTTGTTTGATTTAGTTGCAGACTTATATTTGATAATGATTTCGAATATATTATGAAAGTACAAATTATAGTCTTGTGTTCACTGCACGTTTGACCTTCTGGTTACCAATTGATGAGTAGTTCCCCCATTTCCCTACTCCCATCCCATTTACTTTCCACTGGAAAAATTATGTTGCTGATAGCAACAGATTCTTTGACAAAGTATTTTGTTATTTTTCTTAAAGACAGATTTTTTTTTTAAATTTTGTCTTTTAAAGTAAGTTGGAAGTTCCTTTGCTGTCATTTTAAAAAACAAAAATAAGTTTACTGACAGCAGTAAAAATGTCGCTAGAAGAATAACGACGGATTCAAAACAAACTTGTTTGACAAAAAAAAATATTTCCGATTTGTCATCCAGGTTGCATTTGCGAAGAGAGCGTTTCAAGATCCAGACCTCAGAATGGCCCATAACATGCATAAGATGTCGTCATTGTTAGGAGGTGCACTTTTCATTGCCGATGACATATTTCCTGAAACTCCATTTCTACATGCTGGTTGGCATCTTGCTGCTGCTGTTGGAGTCAGCACTTGTAACAAGCTTCTCGACTAGTCGAGCTCCTCCCCAATTTGCCGAAACAACCTGTATCTCTCCCATAGATGGATCTTCCAAGAGTGGATGATAGAAAATAGTGATGATCCTACCTATAAATGGATTTGCATATGTAATTTGTACAAACTTACTCATTATTCTTCCATTAGCTTGAAAGAATATTGTATTCTAGAGATGGCAATCTTTGTTGCCTTTTGAAAAAATAATCTTTTGGTAAGGGGGGAAATGTGTAGATTGATATTTTCATCTAGCAAGCAATTTGGCTCCGGGAAAGAGAGCCCATTTTTGTAAACTTCGTAAATTTTGTTATGCACAAATTTAATAATTCAAATGTTTGATGTTCAAAGTATGACCTCTTGAGTCACTTTGTACCCAAATGGTATAGACTCTTTTTTGAGGTCCACTCGTTGCTTTGTTATATGAATACATCCCATCAAACAATTTTTATCAGGAGCGAATTAAAGTACGTAAAATTGAGATAAATGGTGTAAACAATTGAAGCATGTGTTAGTTTTGATTTTAAGATGTTCATCAAAGAATCTCCTCATTTTTATTTTTGAGAAAAAGGACATTCGCGGGAGCAGTTAAGAATTGAATGGTAATTTTCAAATCTATTGCATGTACAGAAAATGGTTGCCAGAATTTCACTAGAAGACACTTAGCAGCAATCTATTAGTTAAAGGTAAAAAAAAAACAAAAAATAAAAATTCAGCATCTAGTGGATTTTTAGCAGAATTGCTGGTAATTTTCATGAATATTGCCCTGAGTACATGGCATTATTCCTAAAGGGGCCTTCACTGTAGAGGTAGGTCGATGGATCCGAGTCATCCGACCTATATTAAAGAAAAAAAAAATTGAACGGGCCCCACCAATGTGTCTATCCTGGCAGAAGCCTGTGAATCTCTGCCTATACCTGAAGCACCGCTGAATTTTTATAGGTTATAAGCAGTGGGTTTTGCGGAGTTTGTTAATAAAAGATGTGAAGGGATGCATGGATTAAAATGATGTTTGAGGTAAAAATCGTAGTTCCATTTTTACATTTTATTATATTCTGTAGTCCCATTTAATATTGTGTGCATTGAACAAGCTAAATAAAAAAAAATTCTTATGTTTTATTTGAAAAAAAAATTCAGAAAATACTAAATAGAATGCTCAATTGTGAAATGCATCTGCGTAATCTTTTTAATTATCTACCTCTACAATATATAAAACTTGTGCATAGTAGAAAAGCATTTAAGTTGACACTTTTGTCACTGTATTTTGTTTTTCTTTTCTCGACACTGGGACCTTTAAAATAAAAATTGAAAATAGAACGTCAATAGTGTCACAGAAATTAAATTTCTACAATATATAATAAACTATTAAGAACCCGTTTAAAAGAAATTCTATTTTTGCTTCTACTTCTTGTAGAAGAGTTTCGTAAGCTACTTTAGATCATTTTCTTCAAGTGCTTGTTTGGTAGAAATTTTAATAATTAATTTTTTGACCGTTAGAGATAAATTGGATTTGACCTGTGAGAGAAGAATTCAAAAATGACGATTGGAATAATAAAATAACGATCAAAAAATTGATTTTAATTTACTTTTAAGCTGTACCAAACAAGCTCAAAGCAATTTCTTAGACTAAACATATTGAACAAAATGATCAACCTCTCGAAGTCAAAGTAAACTACCATTATGAGAAGGACAAAGGACGAATTGAAAACAAGGCAATGAGCCCACGAGTGGAGCTGACTTGAAAATAATGTATATCACAAATAATTGTTGGAATTAGATAAGAGATATAATCAGTTGCACGAGGGTGAATTAATGGGTAACAATGCTTGTGAGAGAAATAATATAATTAGTCAATAATGCTTCAATTATGGGATGAAGTCTTTAAGTTTTTCAAGAGTGAAACAATAATGGGATTGAATTCTTCAAGTTCTTGGAGACAAAGAACTAAATTGGGGGAGTTTGGAAATATAAGAAACAGCAGATGTTAGTTGAGCAATCAAGATATAGTCATGATGACGGTTCGTCAAGGCTTTTGCAGACTTTGTGTTACGAGATCATCTATCTTTAGATTTTATGTTACGAGATCATTTATCTTTACCTTTCAATATCGAATAACTTGTGACCACTTATACGGTCTTGCAACTTTACGAAAACTGTTTTTGAGTGAAAAATCACCCGAGAGTGTTTTCTCGAGGAAGTACTCATGCTTGAGTTATATAGATGATCTTTACCAAAGGGTTGTTCTTTTAGGCTGTGGATGGTACAATGCATTAATCAGTCTTTAAGACCTTAGAACTAAATTTCGTAAGAGAATATGCCAGATTGAATGTCAATGCTCTCATTTCTGCCATAGCAAAATAGTAAATTAAAAACAAGATATTGAAATCCAATGACACTAGAGGTGAACACGGTTCAATTTTGACAATTTTTTAACTATTTTCAAACCAAATTATTTTAAATGGTTTGGAAGGATTTCAAACCCAACTATTTTTTGCTGTTTAATTTGGTTTCAAATCATATTTTAGCGCCAAAAGAATAGCATCTTTCAAACAAGTGAAAAATAAATATATTTTTGTCTAAATTTTCATTATAAAACACTTGAATTGAAACCTTCTAAATACAAATGTTACAATATTAATATATTTGTCTCAATACGAGCTTAAATCAATAAATTAATACAAAGTTCAACCGTAAAATTTAAGCTTATATTTTCATTTTTCAGATAAAAAAAATTATTATAATAAATAAATCATTATTTTCTTAAAGAAACTAACAAATAAATTTGTTGAAATATAAATTGATGAAAACAGTAATATATCTTTAAAAAAAAATAAAAAATGCTCAACGTTACGGTTAGTCGGTTAGAATCGGTTAAGCTCAAGCGGTTTTTAAGTGTCGAAACTTCAACATAATCATTTCTAAATAGTTTGGTTCGATTTTGAAACTATTGAAACCTAAATCACGCGAACCAAAACAATGGTTTTAAAATATCAGGATTTCGATTCCATTTTAAGAGTTGACCCTTTTTTATTTCACAACACGAACTGGCACTAAATTTCCATAATCTCATCATTGTCCAGTCACTTCATTTCCGCCTCCCAAAATCTTCCAGAATTTCACGCCTCTCTTTTCAATTCAATTCCTCCTTGTATAGCCAAATAGCCTGTGTCCCCTACCCCACCCACCCCACCCCTCTCTAGGTATGTCAATGACAAAGAAGGTGTATTTATAAATATACCATGGTCAATCGTCTTTCTTGTCTCCTTGTCAAGTCTTTATCTCTCAAACTCTGAAATTCTATTCTCTCTTTAGCTCCATTCAATACTTTGCATGCGATATCCATACTATTTCTCTCTATAAAGTCAGTTCTTGAGCATAGAAAGAATCCCCATCTCCACTCGCAGAAGCAATGTGGATGGTACATTCTAGTGATTACTCATTTGATCGGAAACTTCGGCCTCTAATGCCGAAGTCGACGATCACCGCTAGCAGCAGTACAGCATTTTCTGCAATGCCAACTCCTTGTTGCTATTGCATTCACCACAACCAAAGTATGCCATCTTTATTCCTTCCATAATCACAAGTCATATTTAGATTGGATCAATAGTATATTTGTATAATATTAACGGAGAAAAGAAACTAAAATTTTGTTCGTTATATTGTCAAGTTGTATCAAGTAGCCACGTTATTTTCCTTCACTTCTTGCTATCTTTGAACTGAATTTCAAGTACATTTTCTTGTAGCTACAGTGAATGATGACCGCCAATTCAGAAATGTAGAACCTTTAGTCATGAGTTCAAGATGGAATCCAACAGCAGATCAATTACAGGCCCTTCAAGAAATGTATAGACGAGGAGTAAGAAGTCCATCAGCCCAACAAATCCAGCAAATTGCTGGAAACCTTCGTCAATTTGGTAAAATTGAAGGGAAAAATGTGTTTTATTGGTTTCAAAACCACAAAGCAAGAGAGAGGCAGAAAAAACGTCGTGAACAAGAGGCATCTTTATCTAGAAAAAGGAAGTGCGATGTCTTTGTGAACCCTGAAAGTGAACATTCAGGTACACGTACGACACAACTTTGTCACAATGAGTAGAGTAGAGTAGACTGAGTCGGGAAGCAGTTAGTCCATGGCACAGCCTAGTATGAAGAATTCTACGTCGTGAATGGTCAAGGATGCCAGTCCTGCTACTCACATGAATGGTCTATCATAATTTTCATTATAAAACACTTGAATTGAAACCTTCTAAATACAAATGTTACAATATTAATATATTTGTCTCAATACGAGCTTAAATCAATAAATTAATACAAAGTTCAACCGTAAAATTTAAGCTTATATTTTCATTTTTCAGATAAAAAAAATTATTATAATAAATAAATCATTATTTTCTTAAAGAAACTAACAAATAAATTTGTTGAAATATAAATTGATGAAAACAGTAATATATCTTTAAAAAAAAATAAAAAATGCTCAACGTTACGGTTAGTCGGTTAGAATCGGTTAAGCTCAAGCGGTTTTTAAGTGTCGAAACTTCAACATAATCATTTCTAAATAGTTTGGTTCGATTTTGAAACTATTGAAACCTAAATCACGCGAACCAAAACAATGGTTTTAAAATATCAGGATTTCGATTCCGTTTTAAGAGTTGACCCTTTTTTATTTCACAACACGAACTGGCACTAAATTTCCATAATCTCATCATTGTCCAGTCACTTCATTTCCGCCTCCCAAAATCTTCCAGAATTTCACGCCTCTCTTTTCAATTCAATTCCTCCTTGTATAGCCAAATAGCCTGTGTCCCCTACCCCACCCACCCCACCCCTCTCTAGGTATGTCAATGACAAAGAAGATGTATTTATAAATATACCATGGTCAATCGTCTTTCTTGTCTCCTTGTCAAGTCTTTATCTCTCAAACTCTGAAATTCTATTCTCTCTTTAGCTCCATTCAATACTTTGCATGCGATATCCATACTATTTCTCTCTATAAAGTCAGTTCTTGAGCATAGAAAGAATCCCCATCTCCACTCGCAGAAGCAATGTGGATGGTACATTCTAGTGATTACTCATTTGATCGGAAACTTCGGCCTCTAATGCCGAAGTCGACGATCACCGCTAGCAGCAGTACAGCATTTTCTGCAATGCCAACTCCTTGTTGCTATTGCATTCACCACAACCAAAGTATGCCATCTTTATTCCTTCCATAATCACAAGTCATATTTAGATTGGATCAATAGTATATTTGTATAATATTAACGGAGAAAAGAAACTAAAATTTTGTTCGTTATATTGTCAAGTTGTATCAAGTAGCCACGTTATTTTCCTTCACTTCTTGCTATCTTTGAACTGAATTTCAAGTACATTTTCTTGTAGCTACAGTGAATGATGACCGCCAATTCAGAAATGTAGAACCTTTAGTCATGAGTTCAAGATGGAATCCAACAGCAGATCAATTACAGGCCCTTCAAGAAATGTATAGACGAGGAGTAAGAAGTCCATCAGCCCAACAAATCCAGCAAATTGCTGGAAACCTTCGTCAATTTGGTAAAATTGAAGGGAAAAATGTGTTTTATTGGTTTCAAAACCACAAAGCAAGAGAGAGGCAGAAAAAACGTCGTGAACAAGAGGCATCTTTATCTAGAAAAAGGAAGTGCGATGTCTTTGTGAACCCTGAAAGTGAACATTCAGGTACACGTACGACACAACTTTGTCACAATGAGTAGAGTAGAGTAGACTGAGTCGGGAAGCAGTTAGTCCATGGCACAGCCTAGTATGAAGAATTCTACGTCGTGAATGGTCAAGGATGCCAGTCCTGCTACTCACATGAATGGTCTATCATATGTTAGGTCTGTTCTAATTTTGAAAATTTAAATAAAAAAGTTTCTCATTGGGAGCTGGTCGAATATGAGTCGAGCAGCGCCATGAGGCTTGGCATGAATGGTATAAACATCAGTCGTCAAGAGGGAGTTACCATAAGTCATTCTATTTGTGTTTTTCTAGGAAGAAAGATTTTGAATTTATAATATGTTGTTTCATATGTATAATAAATTAATTTGCTGCAATTGTGATTTTGTTAGCAGATGTGAGCAGGAGAGACATGGAAACTAAACATCCTAGAAAGTGGCCTAGCCCCTCAAAATGCACTACAATTTCAGAGGTCAGTATATGCATAGCATTCCAAAAAAGTACATAATACCTTTATATATATTAATTAACACTAGAATTTTGACTTGTCTAACAACTACATTATTAGCTCATTATATGGTACAAAGGTCGAAAGGCTTAAATGCAGAATAAAGAGAAAGAAAACCTTTTATATGATGGAAAAAGAATTTCTTGATCAGTGTGTAAAATTTTTCTCAGCTTTTTATTAACTGTAAAATATTTCAGGATTCTGTATCAATGCATAGAGCAGCTGTAGCAGAATATGGAACAGACAGGTGTATACAGAGAGAATTGAAGCAGAGAGTTGAAAAGAATGAATTCTGTCTATTGAAAGATTCAGATCAAGAAAATTCAAAGCATTTTTTTGGCCTGAACCTCAGCATATCACTTCCCTTCAAGAATGATGATATGGGAAATGAAGAAAATTCAACTCTTGAGCTATTTCCAGCCCTTAATTCTATTAAAGAGGACACTAATTTTACAAGCATGAAAATCACTCCAAATAAATACTTTGAGTTTCTTCCTCTGAAAAATTGAGTATGAAGATGAAGGTCTTTGTCATTTAGTAGCGTATTTACCAGACAGCAAGATGTTTGTAGGCTTTCCTTAATTTACATTATGTTTATGTATGTGAAAGATTATGAAGTACTAACAGCTATTTTACTGCTACCATTGCCTAACTTTTCTTATCTGTGTGAAATACCTTAAAATTCCTTTATTTTTAACACAAAAAATAAAAAATAAAAAATAAAAAATTTGTAAAGTAGATCCAAGCCATGTCTTGGCATCGGCTGCCTCAAAACCAGGCTTTGTCAGTCCAACACAACCCGGTTTAAACCATGACAATAATTGTGAGGTAAATTTAAATAACGTGTGATGTACCATGTTAGACTGGACAAGGATACAGAAAAGATAACCATCTTGGAAAACCATTCCTTTGTCAGATAGGTTGAATAAGCCTACACCATGTTGCTGAGTATATACTTCAGTGAGTAGCTGAGTGTAGCTTCACTTCTCGTTATTTTTACTTTTTAGATACGACGGTGCCTTGGATTGAGTTAAGATCTTTCAAGTGAGCTAGCAAGTGCATGGTGATTAGGGCTTATAAATGTCATCTTTATCAGGACTTAGTCGAGCTTACACTCTCCATTTAGACTTTGACTTTCATTTAATTTGAAAAATCAACAAGAGCAATTGTAATACTTGATCACAATAGCGACTAAATTACTACAACGAGATCTAGATAGAATCTAATACAGAAAACACTGTTTTTCCATTCTTATTTGACTTGTTCCCTGGATGCTTACTCTTTCCACATTATTATGCAAAACCAAGTTTCTAATGTACAGTACAGATATACGCAGGGGATAAGAGTAGGCTGAGTAGCCAACATAACTTCTGAATCAATGCATGTAAAGGGGCTCAGGATCTACCTTTCTTCGAATCCTGAAAGAAGTTAGAAATAGAAAAACATGGTCAAGTAACTCAATCCTGGCAGTCATACACTGGAAACATTGAAAACATCAAGCTACAAATATTGGAAGCTGTGCATGCGTTTCTTTCTGGAAATTGAAACCAAGGAAAATTGCCTCATCTATGAAATTGAATAAAACAATTACTGATACTAAGTTCTAGCTATTATCGTCCGAAGCTAAACAAAGCATACTCCGGTTATAGACGATTCTCAAGCGCTATGATGCTAAACAAAAAAAATGTTGGCATATAAAGGGATTCTACTAGTGAGAAAATAAGCCATTTCCTAAGCTAGTAAAAGTAACTGTTACTTCACATTATATAGTAAATAATATAAGAAATTTAGTTTCGAAGTATAGGAGTGTAACCTAATTTATCGGTTAATGAGTTTATGGCGAAGATTGTATAATCACTTTTTTCTTTGTCATTACAGTCAATATTGAATCATTGATAATCTTCACTAACCAATTATCCTCAGTCCATTTACAACCATCAGTATCCACCACATGCAAACTGTAAGCGTGCCTTGATTTTGAGGAACTGTTCTCAAAACTGCAGAAGAAAACAATGCGCATCATGTTAAGTACATCTCACATAACTAAATGTAAAGCATTAAAGAAAAAGCACAGGTGGCTAAGCTTAAAATTTAAGCAACTTTATTACTTCAAAGTAAAAAACCGCTAGTTATCCAAGAGCACCTTCATTTTATTAAGGTTAACCAAAGATGCTCTAAATTCAGTCAACTGACCTTTGATGAATAAGATCCCCATTAATGACTACCAAGGAGCCAGCTTTGACTTCAATAGGAACAAAATCCTTTGGATCATAGGTTGGGGATGGCTTATCAAAATGAACCCCATTCTCATCTCTAATGAATCTTCTCACAAGGCCATCTATAATGACAAAAGAAGAAAATCAACGCATTAAGAAGTTTTGAGGCTCAAGAGGGAAGGGAGACAACCAAAATATGAGACATTGGTACCTTTGTGGGATCCAGGGATAGCCCAGATGCATCCGTTTACAATTGTAGCATCTTCTAGAGCAAGCCACAGCCCCGTGCAAGTTGGTGGATCGGTGTATAGAAATGAATTGTCTTGGTGCGGTACCACTTCACCACCAATTCCAGGTTGCTGGAAATGAAATTCATATACATTTTCATGCAGGGACTTATATATGAAATATGTACACTTAAATAGAAGATTGTCATCAAATCTGAAAAGGCATAAAATGAAGGGCAAAGTCTGGAAAATACAAATGTTAGGCATTCTCACAAGTCACAATTATGACGGGACCTTTAAATTTGTGCTATCAAGCAATGTACAACGTTGTGAGTCTGCCCTCCAATGCTCCATTAAATTGATAGCACGACAAATACACATGGGTGTATACGTGGATAAATTGATGACATAGTAATTAACAATGCTATTCTATTTTTAAGTGTGATTTACATCATATCTAGGTTCCTACATTTGCTTAAAAGTAATTTAGCGAATTTCTACTCACTTTTTGTACTTGACTTCTGTAGGCTAAATCCCCAGTTTGAAGGTAAATAAAGCAAAATGGAGATATTCGACGTTTAATTTGACAAAATGACGGAATTGCACAATTGTTGGGAAGTGAAAGGACGGAGAAAAAGGTGGAAAAATGAAGAAACAAGCATTGATGCACAAGCACCACATTTTGATGCCCTAGCAATTTCAAGCATTCAGCTGCTCAAGCACCAGATTTCAATGCTTGAGAATTCTTGATTAAGCAACCCGAGTTCTAATTATCTTAGGACATCTTGAGAACTTCTAGGTCAAGCGAAACACGGAATTTTTTCCCTAAATTGAGACCTATTTATACAAAAAATTTGTACTTAAAAAGGAGGAATTTCGGAGACAATAATACCTCATATTAACAACACATATCATTCTACAATAATTCTTGGAGCAAAATTACAAGATTTTGAAGAATAAGAAAGTGCATAACTGAGGGTCGCAGCAAAGTTCGATATTGTTCTAGAGTTGGGAAAAATTATTTCTAAATTTGGAGTTCTGTTTCTATTTTTGTAAATACGATTGAAAGAGTGTTAGTCGCTTGTACAAGAGTGTTTGAAGAATATCAGTGTCAAACCCTGTCCAAAACATGGACTTGTATCCTTTTGTAGAGTGTCGGTGCATCTTAGACTTAAATAATTATGAAAGTTTAGAGGACAAACTTGGATGCCTAGGAGCTGTCTTCCTAATAGAGTTAGTGGGCATCGAATAGATAATCTCATATGCAGCAACTCAAAAAACTAGTTTTAATTTCTAGTTATCAGAATACAATACCATTTTTCAGGATCAGTATACGGTTAAGAACATTTGTATTGTAAACTTCACACACTTCAACATGAAATGGAAGTACCTTAAAAATGTACATGGATTGTATGATCACGGGCCTTCTGTATCCCAAAGAGTGTAATAAGCCTGACACTTTCTCTGAGCTAGAGAACTTCTTAAACACTGGGTCGATGCCGTG